AAGTTCGACCACTGCTGATGAAGCAACTTTTCTTTACATGTAGTTGTAATTTCCCTTGTTGTAACACCTGCAATTCTGCTGCAGGCCTGCACAAGGAAGCTGGCTCTGTGCTCCATGCTGGGGGAGGAAGACAGATGTTTCTTTTCTCAGGACATTTTTAACATGTCCTGAGTAAAGCAAACAATAAGAAACAGCCAAAAAATAAGGAGTATCCAAAATAATTATTTTAATTTTGATTAACTATGCCCAGGAACATTTGATTTCTAGGGAAATAATCTATTTAGAACATTTTCGTTTTCTTAAAAAATATTGTAAATACACAAAATCACCCACACTTCAAAATCACGCAAATCCTGTTGGCATTAGCTCCCCAAGAAAAGGCCGTGTAAGTTAAACCATAGTCCTGCCACTTTATGTTATGTGAGCCAGCAATTTCCAGGGGACCAGTTTTACAAGCAACCTGGACTTTTGTTATATATTGTAGAACATGCATGTTACATATTGTAGAACATACAATAAATTGCAGTTCTGTAATATAAGCAGAGAATTAGATATTTGAATGAAAAATCTAAAGATATATTGGACTTTTTTTCTTTTTAATTTATTTTTCACTTTTCCTACATAGGCTCTGTAGCTACCGCTTGTCGTGATCCTGGTGTCCCCATGAATGGAACTAGAAATGGAGATGGAAGAGAACCTGGAGACACTGTCCTTTTTCAGTGTGACCCTGGATATGAACTGCAAGGAGATGAGAGAATAACCTGCATTCAGGTAGAAAACCGGTACTTCTGGCAGCCCAACCCACCAGTCTGTATAGGTAAGCAAAATACCTGACAGAATTCTTTCCTAAAATGTGAAATCCTGGTGTAATTAATCACACTGCTTCAGAAATTGCCTTTGTGTAGCAAATGCATAAGGGTATCGTGCACCTGACAAATTACTCTGTATAAAGCTTCAATGGATTTTAGCAAGATCTTTTCTCTGTAGTTGCCCATATAATAGCTCTTGTCCTAATCAAGGGCAGGCCATTTATAATTTGATGGCCTGTGACAGAGAAGGCAAGAATGTCATTGTCAAAGACACTGTTAGCTTTGGTTTAAAACTTGAAAAATTATTGTAGTTGTGGAGGATTTGGTTAAAGTTAATATACCTTAATGTGCAAACCCTGACAGATAACCTAGTAAATTTAAACACCAGGTAAAATTATGTAAGAACTAATATAATATGCATCAGAAAATAGTTAGAAGATGGTAGCACAATTGCTGTCACAATTTGTGATTGCAAAACACTGGCCTCTTCTAAAGCCAGTAGTGAACAATCATGGAGAAGAGTTAGTTGCCAAGACCCTTCTAGGTAGTTTGCTAAATTCTATGGTGATGATTATGTGCCCAGTATGTTCTTCAGTGCAATAAAATGTGATGCCCTATGTGTAGAACAATGAAGATTTTGTCTCAGAGGGCAGTGGTAGCAGGCTTGAAAAACCCTAAGAATTATGATAGATAATCTGTTATCTATTTACGTTTATCTAAATATGATGTGCAGGTGTGGTGGAAAGGAGGGAGAACACTGGCTAAGCCCAATGCCACAGTATGGCCTCTGCATGGACTTGAGTGACCCACTGCAAGGTCCTGTTTTTGCCCTTGGTGTCCAGAACAGAATGGGCTGGTAGGGAAATAAGGAAACAAGGACAACATAGCAGAGTTAGTTATTAATTAGAGCTCATTAGTGACTGCAGTGAGACAGCGGTCCTCTACCAAAGGACAACTAAGGTTCTGCGGGGCATCCTCCTGTCCTCATCACTCCAGTAAGTGACCTTAGGGGACACTGCTGGAGGACCTAATGTGAGACTGTGCCTCAGAAGAGCACTTGAGTACCTTGCCAAAATGTGCATATTTTATTACCTTCAGTAAACTTGACCTACATCATCTGTGTGCATGGACACATGTGTTTCTGCACCCAGATATTTGTATGTGTATCACAGCGCTGACATGGGGTCTGTGGCTGTCTACTCACAATATCAGAGTGCTATTCTCTCTGTCCTTATTCTCTATACTGTGTCTTCTTGTGTAATTTGACTATGTGATTCTCGGGATGTGGCCTGTCTACACTTTTTATCAAAGGACTGCAGAAAGAAACATTTTATTCCTCAGTTCCTCATATTCTTATATCCCTACATATCTATGTTTTGACAATAATTAAAATTGAACTTATGCCAGTGATTGAGGAAAAAAAGGAAAAAAAAAAAAAAAGAATACTGGAAATCTAGGAATGTGTCCAAAATAGATATATATATATAGGTATATTAAAGCATAGTGCTTATGTTAATTGGCTTCATTTAATAGTACTATTTTAATTTTTTTTCCATCTGAAAATCAGGACTAGTAATTTAGTGATTATTGGTACTGAGTTGACAATATTATTAAACAGATTAAATATAGCTGCTCACAGATATATGCACTTGTTAACTGCATACATTAATTTGTGTAATACTTTTAATATCCACATACTGTGCAGAAACACTAATAGTAGCAAGAACGCATATTATGATGATTAAATGGCTGAAAATCAGGCTTGAAGATATTCAGTGATGATTTCTGGGATTATATTCTATGTGACTATATTCTATTTGGCAATATGAGCTGCTAAGACACTAGACTGATGTTTAAACTTCATTTGGAGCCAAAAGGCTTCACAATTCTCTGATATACTTGAGTACAGTCTGTATTTCATTTTTTTTCCCCAAACATGTAATATATTCATTTGTGCTTTGTTGTTTCATGTCTGTATATTAAACCTGTACAACTTTTAGTCTGCACATAACGTCAGCTTCATCATGAAACTTATATTCAGCATATTTAGTCTTACTAAACATCATTTTTTTTGGAAGAATGAAAAGCAAAGATAATTCTTGAGGTGTATAGGTATAGCATGCTCCAGATTTATTTTTATCAGCTTTTTTTCACTAGAAAATATCTTCTCAAMCCCCCCCTAATTATTAATGCTGAAGGCTCAATAAGCATACTTGCAAATCCTTCTTGCAGTGAGGTTGCCTTGGTTGTTTTTCCATAGTCTTGTCTATAACAAAACGTTAACGCCTTCATTTAAAAGGAAATAGCAATGGGGAAGTTATAAGGAACTACATATTTCTATTATTTTAATTCTTTCAAGAGATGGAAACTTAGAGCTTCTTCTATACTGAATATTTTCTGAGAATCTGCAATTGTAATTCCATATTTCAGAACTAAAATGTACGGAAAATACTTGCGTAAAAGAACCTGACTGATTTTGTTTTGTCTAGTTCTTTTACACAAAATATCAACAACATATATCTTGATAATTACTTTTCTACAAAATAGAATATTTTAAAGAATATGGATGGATTTTTTGTTCCTGTTGTTTTGTTTCAAATAAAATCTTCATTTCTCATGGGTTCCAACAGAAAATGGCATTGATATGACACTAATACCAATGAAAATTTCCCTATGGCAGATCTTTTGCAGTGTTCTGTCTTTATCTGTATTAGTGATGTTAGAATTATCAAATAATAGAGTGAGTTTTTTAGCTAGTTTTACTTATGTGGATTAAGCCAAATTATCTTTTCAGTACTTTTTATCTTTTCTGCCTTTTATCTTCTCACAACATATTTTAAGTTGAAGAAATAAAAATAGGGTCTTGTTTCATAAAGGAAAACTTCCATAAAGACAAAAATCAAAACAAAAACTTAATAATTCATATGATTTGGATTTTAAACGCTTTTGAAACAAGTAAACTTCAAACAAATTTGTATTTTTGAAGATCTAGCATAAGACCTATATGAGATCTTAGATTTAATAGAGATCATTTGAAGTTTTTATTTATTATATTTGTATTATTGTTTTATTTCTTTTTAAAGAAATAAAAGAAACTTAACATCTGGTCCTCTTTACATTTTCGTTCTTGAAATAGAGAGGTGTTGCAGTTTGATGGGGTAAGGAGGGGGCAAATTTGGTAAAAAATGAATCCGTTTGCATTCCAGCTGATCCTCAAAGGTTAGAGGGACTGGGGGCAGTTGGACTCATCTCTTAATAGGGATAACCGATACTGTGCCAACTATACGCCTGACTCTACAGTATCAGATTCACCCTGGGTCTGCTGACCAACAGTCCTAGGAGCATTGCCTTCCTAGGAGCAAGTTCCCCAATAGTGTGATCAACTACCAGCTCAACTCTGAGCCTATCAGATTCATTAACACTCTGTCGACTGTAGGTCTGATYGCCTTCAAAAAAGTGGTTGGGTTCATGAGTAGCACAATTTATGCAAATATAACATTTAGAAAATGTGTTTCAGTTGTCAGTACAGGAAATTTTCTACAGTGTGTGGTTCTTAGCTAGTGCCTAATGTACAAATGCACAATCATCCAATCATCACTCACCCAGAAATGGGAGAGGGCTCTCAATCTTGAGGCGTCTCCTCAGGCGGTGTCCTGACCCGAGGTGGGGGAAAAAGGGTTCAGCCTGTGGGCTGAACCAGACGTTATGATGGAGCCCTCCCTCTCACCTCTTCCTTCCTAGGTAGTTCCCCATTTAGTTAACCTTTTATGTATTATCTTTTACATCCGTGTAGAGCTTGAGTGACTGTCGTCATAATCACTTCAGTTATTAATCTAGAGAGCATGCTCAGTGAGGAGTTGTTTTGTATTACAATTGCATCAGAAGGAGAAGAAGCCTGAGCAAAGTTCAGCAGATGGAACTGATCTGCCACCATCTTTGGCCTGTCAACTATGTGGCACCACCAAGCTGCCACCTCTGCAGGGAGTAAAACAGAGTTTGTTCCCAGTGTCTTCACTTCACTCAACCCTCCATTCACTCTTATAAGTATGACCTAGGAGGGCAGATTGTGTTGCCTAGAGTCAAGTGGATTCCACACATAACAACCATCCAGAAATTGGTAACTGCGTCTCAACTCAAGCAAACCTCTGCAATGATAGAACTTCTGTCAGGCCCCATCTTTCTCCAAGTCCCCCTCAAACAACTCTCTTACAACAGGTTTTGCAACTTGAAAATACAAAGTACTTGGAGAGTATACACCATACTGAGGAATATTTAGTTAAAGGTGATGAACTGCTTTTATATTCCACGCATTCTCACAGTTCACGACTATTTTGCACTGTTTTTGTTCAGCAAGGATAAACGGGGTACCGAGACCCCCCCCTCCTTTTTTTTTTCCCAGCCTTTTCTTGCGACCTTTTTTTACATTTAGAGGAACAGGATTGCTGTTTTATAGTATTTTTATCTTTTTTTTTTTTTTTTTTTTAATTTGCATTGACTCATTAAGTAAAACATGCTTCTGCTATGGAACATTATTAACCTTAACCCGGTGGAGATAAAATAATCACTGCTATAATCCTTATTGTAAAATCAGCTAATTTTCTTTGTTTGTTTCACAGTATATAAAACTTCTCCAAATTTATAATCAATCAAACCTTGCCTAGCTTTTAAAATTTTCTGAGAAACTACTCTGAGAAACTACACCCTCCTGCTGCAGATGATCACATTATAGAATTCTGTTTCACAAAATGATAAATCTCCATTTTAACACCTAGCTCGAGTCATCTGAATGCAATTTAAGTTCTTTAAAAAAAAAACCTAGAAAACATGTTTATTATCTTGTTTTTGCATAAAAAAAAAATCAATGCCAAATTATTTTTATAAAGTATTTACAGTTCTGGACTACAAAAGGCAGAAGACTGAGGAATCTCAAAATGACACAAAAAATCAGTTGTTTCTGTTCTGAGTGTGCTTGACAGACATTTTACTTATGTTCAAGTGTACAAGTTGCAAATACTAGAATGCTTTTCTGGGTTTGTATCAGTCTGAATTAATTACTGATTTGAATTAATTATTGGTTCTGTCATGTGAGAATGCATGTAGCTGCATCAGTGTAAGTAAATTGTATCCCATATTCTATAGAGCTTCTTTTAGAAAGCCTGTAACAAGCAGTTGAAAGTGAAATGCTAATGTCATTTTATTTCAACGGCCAAAATTTTTCTCCAGTTCAGTGTTTTCAGAATGGCCTGGATATAGTGCCATGGAGACAAATAAAAGAATATAAAGTTCAGAAACAAGTGCTTCACTTGGTAATTGATATTTAACTAGGGGGAAATGTTAATTCAGCTTTTGTTTCTATTAAAGCTTTGCAGATACTTCAGGTGTTTCTTGTTTTACTTTTGGAGGACATTAAATGTCAGTGAACAGATTGCTGCTTTTTCTTCTGTCATCTCTCCTCACTTCCAATTTGTTTTTATTTATAGCTCCCTGTGGAGGAAACTTGACCGGCTCATCAGGTTTTATACTTTCACCAAACTTTCCTCATCCTTATCCCCACAGCAGAGACTGTGACTGGACTATCACTGTTAATAATGATTATGTTATATCATTGGCATTTATCAGGTAAACTGCTACTGCTCCTAATTTTTAAAATCATGTTTGCAACCCAACTATTGGCAGTTATTCAAAAGATCTATAGGATAACATCTGCTTTACCTGCAATAGCTATCAAGGTGATGCATAATTATTATCTTTGGTGGCAGTCTCAGCAGAGGCGCTCAAGTATTCAATATACATAGGGCATGAGCTTGTTAATGAGATCCTCTTGGGCACTTACTGCACACTTTGGTTCCATGAACTGCGGTGGAAGTGGATGGTGCTGCGCTTGCAAGGACTCTATCAGAGCAGGTGGTGTGGGCTAATCCACTGGGAGGCCTAAACCAAGAGGGAGGCCTTGTGAGGGTGCTTATGCATTGATCATGTTTCATATGCCATGCTTTCCTGATAATTAAACAAAAAATCTAAACAAGTGTTTAAATGCGGGTGTATTAGCCCATATAGCTTTTGAACAGCAGGTTTGTCATGGCTGCTGCAATGGTTATTAAGTGACAACATTTCAGCGTTTCAGTTATCACAGTGTGGTTTGGCTGAGTGGAGCTCACAGGGGAGTTTCTGCTTTATGCACTATTTATAACCCATTGTGGAAATTAATAGACATTTTTACTATGTGTAAGAAATAGGCATACAAATTGCAACATATGATAATACCACATGCAAGAAAAAAAAAATTGGTTGTAGTGTCTCATTAAATTTAAGTCCTTTTCATGGCAAATTAATTATGTAATACGGGCTTTATTGCTGAGGTCACTGACAATGTGATAACTTGCTTAGTGATATTGTTTATATATTTGCCTGTTCTCAGTTGTTGCTTAGTAGTATAGTATGTGTTAAAATACATTTGATATTTCTCTTCACAAAATCAGATATTACCTGTGTTGTACCATGGAACTCTTATTATATTTTTTTATTTAGCTAGCCCAGAAGGAGTCAGTTCGTTTAGGAAGGGATTCAGTGAGCTACTTGGTTATGCTGAGTTTAGGTAAATAGTTCAGAATCAGAATGCAGACTAAGTTATTTGTTAAAAAGAAAGTAATTTCTGACATAATGCAGTACGATAAATTGAATAACTTAATTCCATTATTCTACTGGTGATGCATTGAAAGGACATGACATAAAGAATACTTTATTAGAAATTTAATCACTCATATAGTTAAAAAGAAGTTAGCTTTTTTTTTTTTTTTTTTTTGCTGTTATTTGGAAGACTTCAACTTCTTAAATAACTTTATATATCACTTCAGCTCTTCTTTTTAGAATTATGAAATATCAGAAAGTGAAAATATGTAAGCAAGTTCTGCTATATTATATATTCAGATATATGAGCTATTTATTCTGCTTTAGACGAGWAACAATGTCCTGCAATGAGATCCAATGTAATATGTGAATATTCATTGCAGATCCCAGATATTGTCAGATCAGTCTTAAAATCTGTAGTTACTATGACTCCTATCAGAAACTGAAAGCTTAGTCTTGAGTAAAATGGGACACATCCTTACTGAAACTTACCTCACTTATGATGCAAAGACTGTTTCAGAGAGAGGAAAAACAAAAGCAAACAAACAAAAGAAAATCTATGTAAACCAAATTCTGAATAAAAAAGAAGTCCACTAAATATTGTGGGACAGTATTCTGAGTGGGACACAGAATCCTTAAATTCAAAGACACAAAATATTCCATTTCAAAAATCAAAGCTGTTGACCTTTTCATTTCTTATAGAAGGAAATATTCTGGAAAAATATGAYGGATCTTTTATGCCTACATTGGTTTAAATCAGGAGTTAGTGACTATTAGAAGTAAAATAGTTCTAGTGGTTATAATTACATTTTTGATGTCTTTTTTTGTGCAAGTATAATGGGAAGTTTGTTTAATTCTCTGCTCAACTAAAATTAAGTTCAAAATCCATCTGAACATCATGACAGAAGGCAGAGGAAAAATTTAAATGATAGACCTTCTGGGCTATACTGATGATTGTTAAAATTTTACCTCAGGGTTACTGGAGGATCATCCCTTTGCAGTGTGAAATGCTCAGGCTTCCTAGTTGTGCACAGTCTAGTGTTCTGCAGCTGACTGCATTGTACCATAAGGCATTTCTTCCAGGGATTCCAGTAGATGCTAACTTTCTATTTCCTTTTCTATTTTCTATTTCTAAGATTTAGAACTATCTTCTATTTTCAGTATTCTCATTTTACATAGTTTGCTGACTAGCAGCTACATAATATTATTTTCTAAGCAGAGGTTCAATATGTATAATATTTTCATTGTATTTTAATAAAACTTTTACACAAATGATTATTCTGAGGTTATCTTTTTTCTTTTATGAAAACACTAATGTTAAAATTTTATTTAATATGARTCAAAATGTTATGGAAAGTGTATCCTAGCTGCCATTTTTGTTTTCTTGTTTGTTTTACAGTTTCAGTATAGAACCAAATTATGACTTTCTTTATATCTATGACGGGCCAGACACTAATAGCCCACTAATTGGGAGTTTTCAAGATAGCAAGCTGCCCGAGAGGATAGAGAGCAGTTCAAACACCATGCACCTGGCTTTTCGGAGTGATGGATCTGTTAGTTTCACCGGCTTCCACCTGGAGTACAAAGGTAAAGGATTTTTTCTCTTCTGTTAAAAAAGTTTCATGCATGCGAGTAAACCTCTAACCGTCTTAGTACTCTGTCTTGTGATGCTTTGGTTTTGCCTGTGTGGTATCTATTCATATCAAATAGAATATTTTAAAAATAGCAATTTAAGATAGAGCTTGTGTTATATGATATCATTTAGCTAACACATCATGCTGTTAAAATCAAAGTTCAAAAAAAAAAAGTCATCAACTCATCATTAGTTTCTTACAAAAATAATGATTTATTGGCAAAACTTGCCAGCATTTTTTTCCTCCAATGTATAATTTATTTTCTTTCCTTTATGTAGTAAGATATTTAGGCATATTTGCATYTCAGATTCCTTTAAAATGAAAAAATGTTCCAAATTCTAGACCAGTGATTCAAAATGAAAAATTCCTGGACTAGACCTTTGTATGGCAGGCCATAGTAGATCTGTCTTCATGAAGTCATAGAATCACAGAATCACAGAATCTTCAAGGTTGGAAGGGACCTCTAGAGACCATCTAGTTCAACCTTCCTGCTCAAGCAGGCAYACCTAGAGCATGTGGCACAGGGTGGCATCCAGGCGGGTTTTGAAGACCTCCAGAGTAGGAGACTCCACAACCTCCCTGGGCAGCCTGTTCCACTGCTCTGTCACCCTCACAGTAAAGAAGTTCATAACACTGTAAGAAAAAGTGGTTTGTAAACAATACAGTGTACAATAAGTGTATTGTAAACAATRCAGTGTCATAACACTGTAAACAAAAATATTAAAGCTTGTAAAATCATAATCAGTAGGAGTTTTCTAAACTGTTGGTATGTAGTACAAGACACTGAGGTATCCAGTATAAAATGACTAAGAACATATCCAGTAATCTGTAAAGATAGCCAGTGGGACAATGTGAATGTTTCTGGCATAAAGACAAAACATCCTAACCCCTTTGGACAGATTCTCTTCTCCATTTATTCTGAGAACATTTATAAATGCAAAGCAGAGAGATATTGGTGACCTGCATGATGGAATAGGGCATTTTCTCAGCACTTTAGCACTCTTAGCAATTTGGTAATCTTGGACAACTGTGGGGAGCAGTCAGTAATCTGGAAGGTGGCACTTGTATTCCACAGATCTTATCAGGCCGGAGAAATGGGCTGACCTTTGACAAAAGGAAATATGAATTCCTGCCTTTTTGATGAAATAACCCACTGCAACAGTACAGGCTGGGGGTTGACTGGATAGGGAGTAGCTTTGCAGAAAAGGACATGGGAGCCTGTGGGACCACAGGTTGAAAATCAGCCAGCAGCATCCTGGGCTGAGAGTGCTAAAATGGAAGGAAAAGTGGGATCAGCTGACCCAGAGATGTGATTCTTCCCTCTGTTTTTCTCTTTTGAAATGATGCCTCAAGCACAGTCTAGGGCTCACCTGTACAAGGCCACTGGGATATGGAAGCAATTCAAACCGAAGGCTTTAAGATGATCAGTAGCACGGAGTACATGACATATAAGGAAAGACTGAGGAAATTTGGTTTGATCAGGAAGAGAAGCCGTCTTCAGTTAGCTGGCTTCCTTTTACCACATTTGACTTCTTTATTTATTTACCTGTTATAGCAACTTTTTTTCTGAGTTTACTTCTCATGCACTTAAGATTTCCTGAAGTAGTTTGAAGGTGCTAAGTATTTTAGATCTTCTTTTTAAGAATAGTTTTTAAGAAACTTGTATTTCCACAGTGACATTGTTAGGGTTTAGTCAGCAGTTTCACAAATCTGTCACAACTATGTATTTGGAGAACAGAAAATTACAGGACTGTCATTTTTCCCCACAGAAAGTTTGTGCTATGACAGATAATGTCTTTCCTCAGTGTTTGGTTTACACACCAGATATAATAGATTACTTTATCTATACAATTCTTTAAACAAACATGTACTAGAGTTCTGAAAAGTGAACTTCTTGTTGTAAACTCAAGAATAGTTACCTCAGAAGATGTAGCTTTTTTGTAGTTCTATTAGAAAGATGTTCATTCTTTTCAATTCTTGCTGTTATCAAAATGTTGAGATATACCCTTGAATTAAATGGACCATTTCATTTAAAGTTGAGAATTTGGACTTCAAAGGTCTATAAAACTTCCCAAGTGAGAGTGTAGTTGGATCATGTAGCAGTTATTATAATAACTATGTGATATATTACAGGTTTTCTAATAAATTAGATCTCTTAACTTTTGACTGAGCCACAAAATTTCAGAATATGAGYGTTATCAAGGCTTTAGCCTTTCTTTCTGTGTTGTATTTTGAAATAGTGACATTCAAAATAGGAGGTAGTTAGGTGATGTGTCACAAGCACCAGATTGGAATTACCTAAATGAGTTATCTTCAGTCTCTAATATCTGTTCTTAATAAAACTGTGTATTGTAACTATTACAAGTCAATGTATGGTTTTCATATCTGAAGCAATGTTCTGCCGATTGGAGACGCAAACCTGATAAACTGTTAACCACATTAGGAGATCTTCACATACCTTTGGAAAATTTGACTTTGAAATTTCAAAAGAGTTAGTCCTTGACTCCTTGTTCAAATGCAAATATGACTTTATGCCTTTGTAATGTATATTTTCTGTCCTTTCATAAATATTACAGCAGACTGTATTATCTGTACTAGTATCTATAAGCTYTCATAAAATCTAGCAGGGGAACCTACAGAATCCAAGGAAGTGTTCATCTATTGAAAGCTCTTAAATAGCCCTCCAAGATTTTTGAAGTTTCTGTAGTCTTCTGATAATGCTACGTGCCTATGGGAGAAAACTCCACAGTGTGAATAAGCATGGTATAGTAAAATACCTCTTAAGGTGATTTACAAATTGGCAGTTGATAACTCCATTTGGTTCCTCCTAGTTCTTGCAGAGCTAAAATGATTCCCCATTGATCCTCTCCTTGACAACCATAAACAAGGAAGAAAATCTGGAATTTCTATCCTCTGTCTGATAAAACAAATTACTCCATTCTCCATTCTGCATTGCACAGAAGTGTCAGCTCATTCTCGCTTCTGTCATTTTCTAATACCTTTAGAGTTATTTCATGAATAGAAAAAAATGGTGCAAAAATCACTTATATGTTTACTTCCAAATCCCTTCTGCATTATCATTGTTGTTTTTTAAAAACAACATGGAATACAAGGAGTAATTTATACAAGGAATAATTTGATGCTGTATCCTCCAGTGCACAGAGAAAATTTGTATGAAAATATATGGTATATAGGAATATAGATTTCTACTTGCGGTTTATTAATGCTGAATAAATTGTGAAATGTGGCTCAYAGGCATACTTTTTATTTCATCTAAAGTAGATATTATATTGTCTCCCCCCACTTCACAGTTTTCACACCTCATAATATTAAGATGCATCTCATCTGGTGGGATCATGTCCATAAAATGTAAGTTAAGGTCCCCTACATAACTACATGTCTGGTCATAGTGAAAAAGAGTTCTTATAATCATGCTCTATAGATATAATGAGGGGAAAATAAAACATAAGAAATGTGGATTAGGTCATTATATAGAAAGCTGAAAAGTGAAGGATAACTACAATCATAGAACATTTGATGTGAAAGTAAGATTTCTTTAGAGAAGATGACAGCATGATGAGGACCCTCACAGAATGCCCAAACAGACCTTGACAGAACACTAGGAAATGTTTGTAAAGTTTCATATGTTTCTCAGAATTACATTTGATTATTTTATAGCAAAACTGCGTGAGTCTTGCTTTGATCCTGGGAATATAATGAATGGAACCAGACTTGGAATGGATTATAAATTGGGGTCAACTGTCACATATTACTGTGATGCTGGTTATGTTCTTCAAGGATATTCCACACTAACATGTATCATGGGAGATGATGGAAGACCTGGATGGAACAGAGCACTGCCCAGCTGCCATGGTAAGAGCAACATTTCATTTACTATTGTTGCTTTTGGTGTTTTTGTTGTTTTGTCACATGGAAGAAACATATACAAAAATAGAAGAAGCTTTTATAATTTTAATAAATTTATTTAAGGTAAGTGCTCTTTCCAGTAATTTATTTGATAAAAATGTCATGTTTGCTATAACTGAGTAAACATTTACAATTTACTATTTTAGTATCACTGGTTAAATATTTTACAAGTTACTATGGAAGACAGATGTCTGCTTCTACTGAATCAGCAATTTTTCAACAAAGCATACAAATATGTCTGGGATATTTATTTAAATAGAGCATTAGTTATCTTATTCATTTCTCCATTTTTTTTTTCTTTTTATGACTTTTTTTTTTWAAATGACCTAAGGAGTTTAGTGAACTATTTTGTTTGCACCAGAGAATATCAGTTAACCTTCTGTACATGTGGTCCCAAGGAAAATTTAGCCTTGAAATGCACCAAAGATCAATCCTTCAAAACTTCATGCATATGAGTAATGCTACTCACTTCAAGAATCTCGTGACTTTAGTGATAATAGGACTAATTGAAGCATACACAAAACAGGTAAAGAATGTATTTATTAAAGACGCAATGATTGTGTTTATTCATGCTGCTATCTATATTTTAAGAGCTATCAGATTATCGTAACGTTGAACATATTCACTAGAAAATACTTTGCTTGGAAGGAAAAGACTGCAATTTTGCTAAAAAAAAAAAAAAAAAAAAAAAAAAAAGCAGGTAAAAAAGAAAGGTCCTTGATTCTAACACTAGACTATTTTTTATCTGGATGTATTTATTAAAGACGCAATGATTGTGTTTATTCATGCTGCTATCTATATTTTAAGAGCTATCAGATTATCGTAACGTTGAACATATTCACTAGAAAATACTTTGCTTGGAAGGAAAAGACTGCAATTTTGCTAAAAAAAAAAAAAAAAAAAAAAAAAAGCA